GTCTATTTTTAACTTGACCTTCTTCATCCACAATGAAATTATGTCTTCTTTTTTATTTTCTAAGCAACCATATATTTTCTCCTTCCTAATTAGCTTCCTTCTCTTTGAGAGAATATGATCTCATACGTGTAGATCAGGTTGCTGCCTTATTACAAAAAAAAAAACTTCAACACTGTTTAGACCATTTCTTTACATCAAGAAGTTTCCCAGTTTTTAAAAATTTCTCTGTTTTTCAATATGCAATTAATATTCCATTTATATATTTTCATAAGGCATATTTTGGGGGAGAAGCTACAAGTGATTGAGCCCAAAGCCTTCATGCTGAGTTACACTCCCAGTCTTTTTTGTTTTTTATTTTGAGACAGAGTCTCACTAAATTGCTGAAATGCCCAGATTGGGTTCAAACTTGGAACTTCCTCAGGCTTCCAGAGTGTTGGGATTTCAGGTGTGCACCATCACTTCTAGCTATGATATAAATATTTAAAGATATATTTGACACTCATAACCAATAGAATATATTATTATATAATTTATTATACAATAATTATTATATAATATAATTTATTATTACCATTATATATTAAAATTGCTATGTTAGAAATTAATCTTCTGGAGCTGGGGTTATAGCTTAGTGATAGTGTGCTGGATTAGCATGTGCAAGGCCCTGGCTTCTATCCCCAGCACAAAAAAAAAAAATCAATGATCTTCATGCCTTACATAATATACATGATAGTACTTAATAAAACGATGATCTAAAAATAATTTATACTAATTTCTCTTATTATCATTTTAATTTTTTCATTTTGTACCCTGACAGGTCAGCCAGGCTTTGGAATTCCAGGACCCCCTGGACTCCCAGGACTTTCTGGTAAACTTTCATAAAATATGCTTAAGCCTGGCGTCGTGGCGCACACCTGTAATCCTAGCACTTGGGAAGCTGAGCAGGACGATCGCTGTGAGTTTGAGACCAGCCTGGGCTACATAGAGAGTTCTAGGTCAGTCTCAACTACATAGTGAGACTCTGCCTCAAAAAACCAAAATAAATAAATAAAAATATGCTTAAATCGATCCATAATGTATGCTCCAGTACATTTATTTTTCCATCTCCATCATTTACTGTTATAAAATCTAAGCATAAGCCCAAAATGCAAAGGTAGAGTTGTGTCTTTGAGTACTTATGTGGCCATATAATCTGAGGATTTGAGTAATATAAAAATAGATCCTTAAGGAAATTTACATGTAGATATCTCTTCACTGACTTCATAAATAAATGCTGAGGAAATTATATAGAAAGAAAAAAATGAGTAGAAAGCGATAGATTTTACTAAATTTCTTAAAACTCATTTAGCCTGGAAATAAATAAAAATTCTTAAATCGATCCATAATGTATGCTCCAGTACATTTATTTTTCCATCTCCATCATTTACTGTTATAAAATCTAAGCATAAGCCCAAAATGCAAAGGTAGAGTTGTGTCTTTGAGTACTTATGTGGCCATATAATCTGAGGATTTGAGTAATATAAAAATAGATCCTTAAGGAAATTTACATGTAGATATCTCTTCACTGACTTCATAAATAAATGCTGAGGAAATTATATAGAAAGAAAAAAATGAGTAGAAAGCGATAGATTTTACTAAATTTCTTAAAACTCATTTAGCCTGGAAAAAAACATGCTCTTTTCTCACTATGAAAGCGATATCAAGATAATATGTAGGAAATTCTATAAAAATATGTACCAATAGTACCAATGTTTCTTGAAAAGTCAATTTTTTCCCATTAAATTTATTGGTACATTTTAGGTATACGATATAGTTTCATTCACCATTGGGATCTTGTATTTTCACACGACCTGTCTTGGTTCTTATTTTTTCCCCATACCGCTGCCCTCCCCTCGTTTCTTCCACCCTTCCCTATTTACAAAGACTTTGTTTCTATTTTTTTCCTTTTCTTATATTTTTCCTTTTCCCTTCTTTTCTTTCCCCCACTCCTGCCACTTCCCCTACTCCTTTAGATCTTTTCTTCCTATTTCATATTGTCAGTTATATATTTCTATCCTTATTTACACTTTTAGTTTTTCCTACCACAGAAATTATTTACATATGTGTGTCCTATTTATTAAAAATCGATTTGAATATGTTTTTATATTTAGATGGATATATGTACACACATAATCTACCTCCCCTTTCTAGTGCTTAATCTTATTAATTATTTCTATATGTACTGTGATAAGTGATAAATATATTTAACAGTAAAAGTGGTTGGTTGTGTGAGTTTGGGATTTATTTGGAGATAGAAATTACCCTACTGAATTCCATTAGTTGCTCAGATAATTTTAGCCTTATAGGTAAGCCTATAACTGAGTATCATTTAATGTGCTCTCTGTCACCTTACTTTTACAGGTCAAAAGGGTGATGGAGGGTTACCTGGCATTCCAGGAAACCCTGGCCTTCCAGGTCCAAAGGGTGAAGCAGGCTTTCAGGGTTTCCCTGGTGTACAGGGTCCCCCAGGCCCTCCCGGTTCTCCAGGTCCAGCTCTGGAAGGCCCTAAAGGCAACCCTGGGCCACAAGGTCCTCCTGGAAGACCAGGTATGTTCATGAGTGGTAGGGGAATGGACTGTTTACTAATCAGTTTATTTCATTTTGCTGGCAGTTTATTCAGTCACTAGGGGTTTAGAATTTGTAATATAAGAACTTCTTACAAACAGATAGATTGGTTTATACACCTAGCTCCATCCATTTCCATGGTATCAATGGCATCTAATATATTCTTTCCTCTAATGAATTTAACATTTACTAAATGTTGAAATAAAACAAAACAACTTAGACAAAAATGGGAAATTGTGGCTTTCTTTGTCTTGTTATTAAAGATAAAGCTATACTGATAACCTGGCAGCAAAACACCATCTCCATTTTTAAATGTGATCTTCTCAGCATGTCATCACTGAAATCATTTTAGAGATCACCCAATAGATAGTTGCATGAGATCCATACCACAGGTGTTGCTATGGTTCTGTCACATGATCATCAAATGTCACCAAGCACAATAAACATTTTATCTAAGAACTACACAGTCAAATTCATCTCCAGTATCACAGCATGATAAAATTGACTAGCAAGCTTTCCATACCAACCTCATGTCTTTACCTCATTTGTCTTATATTCACTTCTCCAATATCTTAATTTTTCATCCATTTCACCTTTTTGTTTCTGTGTTGTCGTTTCATTTTACAAATTTGCAAATGCATGTTCTCATTAATGTTGCTGAGACCAATCACAGGTTGTATGTTATTAACAGATTTTTGAGACTTGATATTATTTTTTCTATTTCTGGTAATGGATAATTTGTACTTATTGAGTTTAAGAGAGAAGAGAAATCTAAGGCTGAAGAAACAACCAAATTGTCCTCCTTTGATCTTTAGAAAATCCCTGACTTATTTTTTAAATGCACTTTAAAATGAAAATTTGCATTTAAATTCCAATAAAATCTTAAGTGATTGGAGTTAATTTTAATAGGTATGCTATAAAAAGGTGAATTAAATGGGATCAAATTCTAAGTTCTGAGGATCATTTTGAAAACCAGATTTTAGTCTGATTTTATTTGACTGTCTTAGAGGGTATTACTTAAGATTTTAACTTAGTTTGCAATGGAAGAAAACCAGTGAAAATCTCAGCCATGTTAACTCTTTGCATATAGTACAAAGAATTGAGGCAAATATCTTGCTTTGTTTTGCATGCAATCATTCAAATAAACCAAACTATTATCCTGTTTATATTCTAATTAGCAATGGGCTTATTCATGGAGTAATGGAACTCAAAAAATATAGTTTAAAACACAGCAATATAAAATCATTAAGCTGGATGTGGTGGTGCATGCCTGTAATCCCAGTGCTTGGGAAGCTGAGGCAGGAGGATCACCAGAAGTTTGAGGCTAGCCTGAACTACATAGATAGACCCTGTCTCAACAAATCAACAATAATAGCTGGGGATTTGGCTCAGTGGTTCTGCTGCCTACCTTGTAATTGCAAGGGCCCGAGTTCCATCCCCTGTATCAAAAAAAAAATCTCTAACAATAATAATAATGTCATTAGTCATAAAGTGCCTCAAGCATTATTATTTGTAAAGAAATAGCAACAAAAGTACTCCAGGAGAGCACATATCTGATCAGTATTTGACTTCTCAACTTTTTATAAATTACATATTAAAATAGAGTTTTAAATCCCATTGTTCTTAGAATGGATTGTTCAGTTTGAGTTCACAGTACTGAATTCTATAAAATAAGTTTTGGCTTTTCAAAATATGGCACAATGCTCTTCTCATTTTAATTATTAATTTTAAGTGGTGATAATTTGGTTTATATACAGATGCATGAATATAAATGTACTGCATACTCTGTAACTGAATTAGATTTTAATTTGAAAGTATTTAGTATAATGCTTTAGTTTTTGAAGTTTCTAACTGTTTTGATATTTTTCCTTTTTGTTAATGATGACATTGGGCTTTGGTGAACTTTGACCCCTTCCAGGTCCTCCAGGTTAGCTCCTTAACTACAAAGTAATAACTGCATGAAGTTTGAAACTTTTCTTATATGTAGATATGTATGTATACATATATGTCTGTGTATACATACATTCAAACTTAATGTTTTCAAGTGTTTAAATATATTTAAGAAACTAGGGCCAGGGATTTAGCTCAGTGGTTCTACTACCTGCCTTGTAAGTGCAAGGACCTGAGTTTGATCCTCGGTACCATATAAAAGAGTCTATGTGCCAATTCAATTCTTACATGGTGGCCTATTTCTGTGACTTATCAAAAACTTGTAAAGCCCAGTGTTTCTAATGGAATGACCCCACATTGTCTAATTAGGAAAACGAATTAACGCTTCAAAATTTAGCCAGGTGTGGTGGTGCATGCTTGTAATCTCAGCACTCGTGAGGCTGAGGCAGGAGGATTGCCATGAGTTCAAGGCCAGCCTGGATTACATAGTGAGTCCAAGGCCATGCTGTACTACATAGTGAGACTTTGTCTCAAAAAATTCATATATTTGTGTCATTTTTAGTTGAAAATTTATGGCATTCAAAACAGCTTTATAGAATATTTTATTTTTCATTTACATTAGTGTGTATATCTCACCTTTTCCCTGTGTTTGTTAAAGCAAATTAAACTATCAGCCAGACACAGTGTCCCTACCTGTACTGTAGCTCCTTTGAAGGCTGAACAAGAGTGTTACTTGAGCCCAATACAGTAGTTCGATACCAGCCAGGCAACACTGTGGGAAAGACTCTATCTCAAAAAAAGAAAGAAAAGAAAAAAAAAAAAAGAAATTGAACTAGCCTTCAAAATGGCATTTTAAAAACAGTAACATGTATTAACAGATTCTGCAAATGTGTAATCTTGACTTGTCACATAGTTCTACATTATATTACCATGAAGAAAGACTAATAGATATAATATTCTTTAAAAATCAGTATACTGGACCAGGGATTTTGTTCAGTGGTTCCACCGCCTGCCTCGCAAGTGCAAGGACCCAAGTTCAATCCCTGGTACCAAAAAACAAAAACAAAACAAAAAATCAATACAACCAATAGAGATTAGAGGCTCTTAATCTTATTTTCATCACACACATATAAACAGTGTGTACCAAACAACAATTACCAAGAGAGACTCGGTGGAAAATTGTTGATTTCTAGTAAAAAAAAAAAAAAAAAAAAAAAAAAAAAAAAAAAAAAAAAAAAATTGTTCACCTAATCAGAAGTAAAAAGAGCCACAAATATTTGAATTTACTTATTATTATTTAGATAAGTAGTTCTTTTCAGATTTCTGGAGAGGAATTAAAAGGGGGGAAATTCTTCTCCTTGGGTCTGACTATTGAGAAAGATAGAACCTTTTTTTCCCTTTATAAATTAAAAATTCATAAATTTTCAAGATGGCTTTGAGGAAGCCATATACCTATATCTGAGCTGATTCCCTAGCTACTTTCTTTTTCTTTCCTTCTTTATCTGTAGTGGGAATTGAACTCAGGACCTTTGCACTGAACCATATATCCCTATCCATTTTGGAGGACAGGCTGTCACAAGGTTGCACAGGCTAGAGTTGAATTTGTGAATCTCCTGCTTCCCAGAGTGCTGGTAGTATAATGGTGTTCCACCATGCCTGGCTTCTGGCTCCCTAATTTCTTACTTTCCCACAGTCCCATTATTTCCTTGGACCACAGAATGCCAGACCAAGAAGGGACCTATGCGCTTGCTCTCTCTCTGTCTGTCTCTCTCTCTCTCTCTCTCTATCTCTGGCTGGATATGTGTTAAAGATGGAAGATAGATTATATTCAAGGCTACTGCAATAGAGGAGAGTGACTGAGCTCACCCTAAGTATAACAAAGGAGCATTCTGAAGGAGCAGAATGAGGAGGTCAGTGATTGAAACTTACTGAAGGAGTGTGAAGGGTAGAGGAATTTTTGCTAAGGTCACTTCACAAGATGCTTGCTAAATGCAGGCCAAGGAATTATACACCAAGGGTGGTGGATGAGGAACTTGATCAAATTTTAAACATTGGAAAGGGACTTTCCTTAAATGGATTTAGCAGTATTATTATAACTGGACTTGGCAGGGCAGAAACAGGGCCCTAGGATGAGAGATGACTCACATGCACCTGTAAGATTTGGCCAAGGAGAGAGTCTTTGTTACATATGAGAAACAGAGACCCAAAGAGGTCAATAAGTTTGTTCAAGGTAATATTGTTAGTTACTGACATAGTTGATACTGACTTGTGTCTATACTACTAGTAGAATCATATCTTTCCACAATGGCTATTATTATATGGCTTGATGCTTATTTTCTCTTATTCTAGATATAAACACTATAAGTTAATGGAGCAAAACTACTTCTACCATTTTAGGAGATTTGGCTATAGCTGACCAGGCCTTGCTTCCATTTTTTAAAATTTCTGTTACCTTAAAAGCCCCATCAACCCCTAACAACTGCTTCTTGTGTTCTTCCTAAATGGATATCATCAAGAAGATTAAGCTAGTGCATGTGATTTAACAATCACCAAGATAAAAAGATGAGTAGGGGGTACTTTGAAGTAGTTTTGATTCCTACCTTGTCTGACTTGTATAGAATTCTGCTACCTTCCTCACTGCTAAGGTAGACTGTCAGATAGGAGATTTTTTTTCTTTATTTCTGAGACACTAGAAAATATTTAAGGAAGAAAAATAAAGTAGCAACATTTACTTTAAAACCAATTTAACCCCTCCCATTTACCAAATGTGCTCTAAATTGCAATTACTGGAACCTGGTCTCTGTGGTGGTCTCTTCCTTGCAACAGTTGCAAACTACAACCTTAAATGGAAACTAGATTTTTACCAGTGGATCCATCAACTTATCTTAATTAATTAACACTTATGTACAAGACTTTATGTTTTGGGGTTTATTTTCAGTTAACTTTTCTTGGATGGTTTGAAAAACAGTAAATTGAAAGCCTCATACATAAAGTTGAGTTGGCATATAACTCATTAAAATGTAACCTTTTCAGAATTAAAATCTTAGTTTTGCTATGACGTGATCAAAGTTCTCATTGCTAATGACTTGAATGAAAAATGTCATGTTTTGATGAGGTATTTTTCTAAGAGCTTTTATTATTGGTCTTTTTATATCAAACACAGATCTAAAATGTCTTTACTCAAACTCTAAATTATGTTTGGTAGTAATTCTAATTTATTAAACTGATTTTGTGGTGAGACAATGCTCTAAGTATTGTCTTCAGCTAATTTGCTGTGCAAGCCAAATTTTAGCTTTCTAAATTTCAAATTATCAATCGTTTAAAAAAAGTTTTATTATTGGGCAGTAATAATAATGTTTTCTATTTATATTGCATGCTATCATTTTCATCATATAATGTACCTTTGTTGTAAGCTCCTTGAGAGCAGAGTCAGGGGTCTTGTGTTTTTATTCCATGTAGCTCCTTGTACATGACAGACACCAAATCTGTGTTTTAAGACTTCCTTTCAGTGTTAATCCTCTAAAGGAAGTTAAAGTAGATAAATTATGCTCAGGGCAATTGAGTTGCCCAAAGTCATACAATTATTAAGTAGCAGAGTCAAGAATACAATCCTAGGTCTTCAAACTTCTAGGATTCTGTGCTCTGGCACTATTTATTCTCTCTGCTAGCATTCATTGTTTATAAATCATAGCAAGACTTATAAGGAAAAGAAACAGCATTTATACTCAATTAATAGTAACCAAGAGACATTTTATTTGTAGCTTTTTATCATTTTATTTAATGATCCTTCTTTTAATAATTATTACCTCAGTAAATATATGCATTAAACGATAATAAAATAATTGTAATATTTTCTATGGCTTGGGGCAGGCTATTGCATGCCAAAATATTTAAAGTGCCCTTTCATTGATAGTCTTCACATCTTTGGAAAATTTGAGTCTTTAGTTTGCAGTTTGATTGTGTACAAATATACATTGCCTTTTTCTTTAAGTAGTTTATTACAGATAATAATAATGCACAGAGGAAAACCTCACAATGAATTATGACAAAAATCAGAATGTAGTTTCACTGATTGGTCTTCAAATAAGACAAACAAAAGTACAACTAATTGGTAATGGTAAACTCATGTTTTGATTTTTCTCTTTAGTCACCAATAATTTTTGTATTTTTTCCCAATGAAGCCTGTAACTAGTATCTGCTTGGTTCAGTCTCAACATATAAAGAGAGATTTTTACTTTTTATTTTTATTGAAAAATGACAGGGGCCAAGATAAACATTCATGCAAAATTACTCCATTATGAAAAGAACTGAAGGCTGTCAGTGAAATTGTATTACCTTGCTAACTTGAATGTTTTGAGAAGCTAACTTTCGGTTAACACAGTGTCTTCAGTAGAGTTTTCCATTTTTTGGATTGATGAAGACCAGCAACTTATTCTCTCTCTGTAACAAGCTCTGTTTGAAAAGTTTGGCTCTCCATCTCCAGTATGGTTCTATGTACATACTGATTATGCTATAAGTCTGAGAAATTCCGGCAAAGATAATTACTGTTTAACTTATGCTACAGTGAGAACCACTTCTAACTCATAATCTTATTTTGTACTGTGTGATGTCTGATACGGCTAACATCGATCTATGGGCTTTGGTGAATTCTGCTCTTCCCAGGTTTTCAAGGTTAGACTCTTCACTGGTCAGTTATTTTTTATTAATGTTTTACATATGTGATAAGAGATATATACTTTATTTTGCTATAAATAAAAGCAAAATTCAGAAGCTATTGAAGAATGCTACTGCGCATGGTGGTGCATTCATGCCTATAATCCCAGCGATTGAGGCCTGGGACAGGATTTGCACAAGTTTGAGGCCAGCCTGGGCTACACAGTGAGTTCAAGGCCAGTCTGAACTAAACAGTGAGATCCTGTCTCAAAAAAAAAAAAAAAAAAGGCTATAATCCTCAAATACTACCTGCTTGGATTGTAACATTTTGGTGACAGTAATGTGGCTTATCTATAACACAGTTTGAAATGATGTCAAGTCTTTGTGGTTCTATAAGGAGAGGTGCAGGGTTTGAAGGGAGGGCAGGGGAATGAGAAAAAATAAGAATCAAGATATATTATGTAAAGGTACAAGTCTCTCATGATGAATATCATTATATTATATACCTAAAATGTACCAATAAAATTAATTTTTAAAAAGATAATCCTGGGTGGGGGGTTTAGCTCAGTGGTTCTGGTGCCTGCTTTGCAAGTGCAAGGACCCAAGTTCCATCCCCGGTACCAGAAAAACAAACAAACAAGATAATCCTACATAAAAATCTGTTGAATTTTAAGTGAAAATACACTTATTTTTGCCTTTTAACTACACTAAGACATTTATTTAGGCAGACATATAGCCAATTCATATTCTCTGCATAATTTAAAAAAAAATCTTCCCTTGTCATTTTCGTCAGGTTGGTTCAGTTTATTCTTCTCTTAATAAGCTGATTTGCTACTTGATTTCTAGTCTAAATCATACAAACTCACATGTTCGCTTAGAGAATTCTATTAATGAATTTGAAGTAAGCAGTTCTGTTTTTGCTTATTTTGTTTCTTATGTACAAAGTACCCCAAATCTTTATGATCAGTAAGGGAATTTCTGTGTTGTCTGGTTGCCAGGTTGAGGTTACTATGAATTAAATTGTTTAAGAATGCAAACAATTGCTGCAGTGTTATGAACCTGCTTTCTTCTTCTTATGTGCCAGATATAGTCACATTATCTTATATAAAATATTCATGTTTTAAGATACATTCTTATCTTTAATTTTACTAATAAGTGTAATAGTGCTAATAATTATAAAAAAAAACCACCCCTTTTATTATTTCTTTGTGCCAGGCACTGTGCTAAGTAATTTATACATACAATTTCATTTAATCTTTACAACATCCTGGTAAATTAGATGCTACTCTTTTCTTTTTCTTTTTTTCTTTTTGGCATTACTTGGGATTGAGCATTCGCAATGAGCTGTACTCTCAGACCCTTTTTAAAAATTTTGATATGTGGTCTAAATTCTGCAGGCAATACTTGAATTTACAACCCTCATATCTCAGTTTCCCCTTGTTATGGAATTACAGGAATGTACCAGCATGCTTGGCTAGCAGATACTATTATTATTTCCACTTAATAGAAGAAGAAATTGAAGACAAAGAGATAAATCATTTTGGTAAAATCAAAGAGCTGATGATTAATAGACTTGGGATTGGAACCTCAGCATTCTTACTCAGGGTTCCAGGGTTCTTAATCAGTAATCATTGATTCTAAGTCCTAAGAGTATTTGGAAAGGGAACTAAATATGAAATTTGATATCAGATTTTAAAAATAGCCCTCTGTCTATGAGTAAGCTTGAACCCAGTATTCTAAATTCATATGCCCATGATAGTTCCTTTGAAAGTAATAGTTAAAACCGGGCACAGTAGCAAATAACCCGTAATCCTAGCACTTGGGAGGCTGAGGCAGGGGGAACACTGCTGAGTTCAAGGCCAGCCTGAACTAAAAACATATTTAGATCCTGTCTCCAAAACCCAAAACAAAATAAAAATAATAATAATTTCTACGTATTTTTTTAAATTTTGGTTGAGATCAATAAAAAATTGAGGCTACCAGAGGAGAGAAGGTATATGTGCTAGCTACGGGCTCATTATAGGGACATTTTAATTATTTCACTAAGGAAGGACTACTTACTCTCACTCTTAGCTGCTACACGCTATACAAACAAGTAGCACCTGTTTCCCACCTGCTGACAAAAGACTTGGTCAATGATATGATGTCCCTGGTTGCTTAATGCAACTGCGACTTTTATTTATAAAGAAAAGTTAAAATTATAGCATAAAGAAAAAACAGTGAATTTAAATTATTTTTATTTGTTCATAATATATGCAGAATTTTTTCTTTAGAATATTTGAAATGTAAAAATTTTGAAAACTTTCTTTTGTGCTGGTGGGATAAAACCCCAGGCTTCACATCTGCTAGGCAAGAGCTCTACCACTGAGCCATGTACCCAGCCCATGAAAACATCTGTAAAATAAATGTTTAAAGTATTATATTGATTAAATTCTGACCTTAAAAAATATTCCTATGTATCAAGCATATCACTAGAACAAAATTGAAGTTAATTTGTTTAAATGTTTAATAAAAGATGAATAAATGTGATTTCTTACAAATAAAGCAATTTTATTTTTTTTATTTAACGTATTTTATTTATTTTTCTCATGCTGGGTATGAACCCCAGACCTCTCACTTGAGCTCCTCTACCACTTGAGCTACACCCCCAGCCCTAAGTCATTTGATTTTATTAACAGTGGCTTGGATTCCTTGAATTTGTTAGAATGCAAAATCTTAGGCCTCTCTGCTGCCTTACTAAAGCTGCAACTCTGGAGGTGGGCCCAGGAATCTGAATCACAAGATCTCCAGGTTATTCTAATTGAGAACAGTGCCCTACTGTGTCTATTTCACTTTAGTTTAAGTCAAATACTTTGTTAGGAATTTAGAAGTAAATTATGTCCCGAATCCTTTCTTTAGATATATGTTTATTATATTGAATAAATAATAAAATTTAAACCAAAAGAGTTTATAAAGCAGCATTAATAACAAGAGGAACCCAATCCAATTTCCATTAGGAAGAGAATCAGGATAGGCCAATATATTTTAATGTAGTGTCAGTTTTACCTGCAAACGAATATGAAGATTAGTGACATTTTAAGACCCTAATGTTTATACTACTTTTATGCTATACTGAAATTTCGTCATTTGTTGTGTATCATCAAGGTCTACCAGGTCCAGAAGGTCCCCGTGGTCTCCCTGGAAATGGAGGTGTTAAAGGAGAAAGGGGAAACCCAGGCCCACCTGGGCCCCCTGGCTTGCCGGGTTTGAAAGGAGATCAAGGACCACCAGGATTCTCGGTAGGGAATGGGAGTAGATATTTGATGAGAGAAGTGTGTGGGTGTTTGCATTCAAATGAGAATTCTAAGGGGAAAGCTAATAAGGGAAAAGAAAAAAATATGAGAAAATGAAGAAATGGAAATGAAGTGTTTGTAAAGGGGGAGGGAGGAGGGGTGAAGGGAGGGCAGGGACAAGGGGAAAAAAATGAGAACCAAAACCTGTCATGTAAAGGTACAAGATCCCAATAATGAATGTAACTGTACTGTATACCTAAAATGTACCAATAAACTCAATGAGAAAAAAAAAACAAATGAGAATTCTAAACTGTAACATTTAATAAGCACTCACAGACAAGACTCTACATGGCTCACTGGTGAATTAAAACGCCACCAGTCTTTCCAGCAGGTTGATAATAAAATGTTTTTGCAAGGCAGGCGGTGGCACCACCAAGCTAAATCCCCGGCCCAACGTTGTTAATAAATCTTGATAGACAGTACAGTCTTGGATGTCTTCTGTGAAAGCTGCTTGATAACAGAAAAAAAAAACTAAAAAGAGGTGGCCCTTAAAATTTTTCAGTATCTGACCTTTTTCCATGGCATCGCTCTACTTCTATTTACCTAGCCTTAAAAATTAAGTTTTCTCTTTATTCATTCACTAGTCACTCCCTACTTTATTCTTTCTTGTACCTCTGCATGCAAGACTCCTAACTGCTACATTTAGGCTCATTTCGCCTCCTTTACCTCTCTCTCTCTCTCTCTCTCTCTCTCTCTCTCTCTCTCTCTCTCATCTCTCTCTCTCTCTCTCTCTCTCTCTCTCTCTCTCGTATTTCTCAGTGTGTATGTATATATGTGTATACATATTTATGTTTTATGTATTTGTACATATTTATATATTTGTGCGAACATATTTGTTTCATGAAACAATTGGAATAAGTTACATCAAAAGTGGCCCTTTACCATTAAATACTTCCTTATATAAGAGTAAAAAAAACTCTCTTATATAACCACAGTATATTATCAAATTTAGAAAATTGAAAATAGATATAATACTTTAAGTTCTGCCTTTAGTGTTCCAATTATGTTAGGTAACCTAGTAATGTTCTTTTTAGCATTTCTCCCTCTAAAATTGTATCTAGGACAAATCATGAATTACATTTAATTGTCATATCTTTTAGGCTCCTATAGTCTGAAACCATTTCCTAACCATATTCTTTCTTATATGACATTGACATTTAAAAAATTGCCACCTTCCCTACTTTAAAAATAGGATACTCTTTTGTCTGATGTTCATATTTCCATTTGAGTTATGTATCTTCAGCTGAAATATCGCATGAGTGATGTTTTCTTCCCAGCATAACAGATAAAGAAGCCTCTCATATCCACCTGCCCCTAATTTTGGGATTTTAATTTTTTTTTTTTGGTACCAGGGATCGAACTCGAACTCAGGTCTTTGTGCTTGTGAGGCAGGCAGCGGAACCACTGAGCCAAATCCCCAGCCTTGTGATTTTAATTTTGATCACACAGTCAAGTTGTTATCCATTTTCTCCTCTGTATTGTTGCTATTTTCCTCCTAATGAGCAAAACTGTGTTAAGGTACATTAAGTTCTTGCAAATATAAATCTATCCTTAGTTTTAACATCTACTAATGACTTTTGCTTCACCTGCTTTTTGCTGGAATAGTGGTAAATTGGTGATTTTCCAACTCTAGTACTGCCTCTGCATATTCAGTACCAGTCAGCTCTGCTGTAAGCAAGAGTCCCTTATATATTGATTATCAGTATGGGATCAAACTTTCTCACTTTTTTCAGTGACATACAAATTCTTTAAATGTTATTACTTATATTGGTGCTCATATTGTCTCAGATTTGAAAGCTCCTTCAAGCTGGATCCTTTCTGACATGCTTCCACCTGCTTATTTTTTAGCACATTCTCCTATTTTACCATAAAAATATATTGTCACTGTACCCCTTTTTTCATTGCTACTACTGCAGACTTCATTATCCTACACTTGGACTAGTGCAATAGACTTTTAAGTGATCTTGCTATTTTATACTTTCCTTTAGATTCATTTTAGAGCTTTTTTCTACACTTTCCATGCTTTGTATGGTACTCAAAACTGATCAACAGGCCCTACAATACACTTGCTAAGTATTTCAAATTTTAGCATTTCTACATTTGCAGATTCTAGTCCAAGCATTCATTGCCTCAGATCTACACTAAAAAGCAAGTGTTTGGTTAACAATAAAACATTAGCTACTACTTATTAAATGCACAGCCTATGCAGTTTTCTAAACATTTAATATGAACTGTCTTATTATGTCCTTACCACCACTCCATGAAGCACAAGTTATATATTGTTGTTTTCTCCATGTTAGAGGTGAGAAAACAGTGGATTAAAGAGATTAAATCATTAACTGGGGTTACACAAGATAATAGGTGAAACTGGGACTTGAATCCTAGAAGTTTAGCTCTACAGACACTGCTGTAAATTACTACACAATACCTCTGTCCTCAAGTCCCTTCCTTTCTCTCCCAGTTTTATTTCTAACATGAATGATTTTATTTATTCAGGGAAATCCTGGTCGGCCAGGTCTCAATGGAATGAAAGGAGATCCTGGTCTCCCTGGTGTTCCAGGATTTCCAGGTATGTGAAGGGGTGATCGAGGGTTTCGCTTTCTGTTAAACACCTTTGGGCCAAGACACACATATTTTGATTTGTCTAAGTAAAGCCTGTTCCCCTGTTGCTTTGCTGTGAAATTGTTTGTACAATTGTCTTTGCAGGCATGAAAGGACCCATTGGAGTACCTGGTTCAACTGGCCCTGAAGGGGAACCAGGACTTACTGGACCCCCAGGTAAGAAGTATTCCTGAAGCTACTTATGTGTCCTTTCAGCCAAACTGTGGAAGTCCAAAATTTGCTAATCTCTTAAACTTTCATTTTTATTAATGTAGATAGCAGTCCTTTCAAATTTCAGAAGATGCACGAGGAATAAGAATGATTTAATTGAGATTTACTGTTTTGATGCTAATTATCACATATTCACCTGAACAGACCACAAGAACAAGTTACATATGTATGCTTATATATTTCTATATTAAAATAGTTCTTTTTATTCCACTCTTTTTGTGGGGGACTGAGATCAAACTCAGAACCTAGTGCTTGCAAGGCAAGCATGTTGCCACTGAGGTAAATCCCCGGCCCTCAAATAGTTCTTTTTGCTGAGAGGCTTATAGATGTTTCCTGTAAGCTGTAAAAGAGGGCATCTGATAAATTCTTCAGTGGGTTCCCGGACAAGCATTATAAAGAAGAACTACAAAAACTGTCAGAAGCACAATGGACTTGTCAGGGAATGGGACTGTCTTCCCTTGGCACCAGTGTTCACAGCTTTGTAATTGCTTAGACACATCAGTAACTGATAGTGATTAAGGTTTGAAAGTAGGATGATATGCCTAATTTTTTTACCGACCCTAAGAAAGTTATTTATTTTTCAGTTTTCTGGGTGAAATGATAGCAGTTTTCCCAAACAGATTCTGTTAGCTCTGGCAGCAGTGAAATGCATGTAACTTGTTTTTTTCACACTAATATTTACAGTGAACTTAGGTCATCTTGACATCTGTTTCTTCTGAAGTTTTTCTTCCCTACTTTTCATCTTTGTATGTTTGGCCTCTTAGGTCCTCCTGGATTACCTGGTCCTTCAGGACAGAGTATTATAATCAAAGGAGATGCTGGTCCTCCGGGGATCCCCGGCCAGCCTGGTTTAAAAGGTCCACCAGGACTATCAGGCCCTCAAGGCTTACCAGGTACATTTGTAGATCATCTTTGAAGACTTGCCTATTGGAGAACATTTCTCTGTTTCTCCCTTTACATTTCAGTTTGTCTTTGACAATAGGATTATCAGCAACTAGAATACTGTGCCACAACAGGACCTATTTCCTTGAAAATGCTAATTTATCATATTCAGCTTTCTCCTGAGTGCAGTCCTATTTCCCCCTTTGAGCATTCTAATTTGAACAAGTAGGCTAGTATTAAAAACTCTGCAATGAAATGGACATGCTTTTAAGTTCCAGTGTTTTATCTTCTTCAGCTAGTGCAAAGACTGCTCCCCTGGGGGTAGTGCTCACCCCAGGGCCCTCTGCATACATGCTAGGCAGGTGCTCCACCCCTGAGCTGTACCCTTCAGACCCCCACTGATTATTTTTATATTATAAAATTTTTTTTCACTGATTTTTAATTTATTGTCTACTTGCCCATTTGACTCTATGCTTATAGCCAACTTTGATTGCTAGCACTAAGTTCAGTCTTTTCCCCCTGAATAAGCGAGTGACAGTCTTTCCATAAATGTACCTGGCAGTAACAGTCCTAGCTATAGTGGGATAGACGGCAGAAGTTGGGGCCTGCATTGTTGACTGGCACTGAAGACAAAGAACAAAACTGTCATATTAAGGATATCTTCCCAGAAGCAAATACAATGTTTAAAGCTAAATCCTTGCCTATATTTGTCCTTAGCCTGAGCTATTCCTTCATTTACTCAGATTTAAAGTAAAATCAGATTCTAGGGGCCAGGGATTTAGCTCAGTGGTTCCATTTCCTGCCTAGAAAGTGCAAGATCCTGAGTTTGATCCCCAGTACCAAGTAAATAAATAAATAAAATCAGATTCTAAATTCAGTTTCTTAAGAAGTCTAACTCACAGCTGGTCATGGTGGCACACACCTTTAATCTCAGACCTTTCCAAGGCGGTAACAGGAAGATCTCAAGTTCAAGGCTAGCTGTAGCAATTTAACCGTTTAGTGAAACCCTGTCTCAAAATAAAAATAAATAAATAAAAGGGTCAGTGATGTAGCTCAGTGTGAAAGCCATTGTTCAATCCCCAGTACCACCAAAACAAAAAAATATAAGTCCCCTAGATCTATCTGGATGTGAGCATATTCTACCCATATTTGAAAACCCCATTTCTTTTTCTGTAGGTCCAGTTGGTCCTCCAGGGGATCCTGGACGTAATGGACTCCCTGGCTTTGATGGTGCAGGAGGGCGCAAAGGAGACACAGGTCTGCCAGGCCAGCCCGGTAAGACTATTAAAACAGTGCTTCTGATGGTGGTCTTTATGTCTGGGAAGCCTCTGAATGTAGGCTTCCACATGGAGCCAAATCTTCTTGAGGGAGGGAGCTCCTGGATGGTAAATCTGGAGCTGGGAAAAAATAGGAAGGCATATCTGAAGAGATTTGACACTATAAGAGAGGTATACAAAGTTGCTTTTGTTTATGTTTAAAGTACTTGAAAACCCAGCTCTTTCTCCAGGTACTCACCGTAATTGTCTGTTCTGCTAATTTTCAATGTATTGATTTAAATTCCTAGAATACTTTGCACTGTTGTAAAGCCGCCCATATTTGAAATTATCACACTAAGATGTAGTTTCCCCCCACAGGGTACAGTAAACATAAATGAAAAGTTTAAGTGATCCTTGTAGACCTTTGAGAGTTATGGTGACATGTCTTGCTGAGATTGATATGCAGATTTTTAGGTCACTCATTAATAGGTACTCCTGATAGTATTAAGTCTGGTACTACTAAATTTCCATCTGTAGTTCACCTACTTTCAAAAAGAATTTGAGTCAACTTGTTGTAAGATTTCTAAAATACAAATAGAAGACCATAAACTCAATACACTGTTACATATGTTAGCAACTCTAATTAATATAAACATAAGGATTTGTATTGCAGAAGCAAAAATCAGTGGCAGCATGGCAGCGTCGTGCTAGCATATAGCCTTTCTAGAGTCAATATCCTGCCAATTAATTAGTTTTGTATTTCCAGAGAAGAAAAAGTCACTGTCATCTTCATTACCAGCACTGCTTTGAAGTTTTTGAAGATAAAAATCTATACACAAAATGATTAAAAACCAGTGTAAAAAAACAATTTTAATTGTGCTTAAATCAAGAGGTTAAATTGGGACGGGGACCCAGTGGAAGACTGAAATAAGCATTTTGAGATGGCTTCTTCAGAATGTACTAGGCTATTTTCTACGCATGATATGCTTGAGAATAATTCCCCAGATAGATTCAAAGGAAAATAAAAAACACCACTGAAGCAGACTGACTAATGGAAATCACACCTTTCCTTTCCTATTAATGAACAAAACAGATGGATTGGTCATGGGGTTCAAACTCCTTGAGTATATCAAGAGACCAGATAACACACAGGATCCCCATATGCAACGATATATTACAGTGCCTTTATAGACACTGTATAAATATTGAATAAATTCACTAATCAAATGAGGTCATTATGTTTTGTAAATAGCCCTAACAGTGGATAAGAGCTTATTTAATTTTGTATACTGATGATTTCGTGGTAATAGGTGCCCGTGGTTTGGATGGTCCTCCAGGACCAGATGGGTTACAAGGTCCACCAGGTCCCCCTGGAACCACTTCAGTTGCCCATGGATTTCTCATCACACGCCACAGCCAGACAGTGGATGCACCACAATGCCCACAAGGAACAGTCCAGATCTCTGAAGGTTTTTCTCTCTTGTATGTACAAGGAAATAAAAGAGCCCATGGTCAAGACTTGGGTAAGATACTTAGCACCTTATTTCTTCTTTTTGGGTTTGTTTCAAAAATACTTATGTGTTCTAGAGTAACCTTGGCCAAAGTATATCACTCTATTCTTTTGGGGCTTCCGAATTAAAGGCCATGTCAAGGGCAATTAATATATTCCTTATAATTTTTGAATAAATTATATTTAATCTTAAACTAAAAGAATTCATTAACTAGTGTGTGGTATAATTCTTGGCCTAAAGCAAGGCATTTTCAAAAGGACCACATTTATTTAGCTTATTTATTAAGGAAACAGATTCCCTGGGATCTCTATAGTATAGCTGCTGTTTGAGTGGACAGTGTTTATAATTCATAAGAGATAGTTTCCTCTTTTCTGACACTGGTCTTTGTCAAGTTGAAAGATAAATTATAAAGAGAGTCTTGAATCCTAGATCAAAGAAAGTAAGGTCATTGCTTAATTATGCTAGTTTATAGATCCTAAAATAAATGTATTAACTTTGTAAAGTATTATTGAAGCAGTTTAAAGTCATATAAAACATTGTATTTCCATACAAAATCCAGTTCATTTGATGTGTTCTACTGTATCTTCTCTATGGTCGGGTAGGTGGCTTGGTTAATGGAATGATGCTGGGCTAATGACTGTCAAGGATTCTTACATCCCCAAGGTTTTTTTCCTACAACTTTGACTTTTTTTTCCCCGGAACCAGGGATCAAACTCAAGACCTTGTGTTTGCCAGCCATGCACGGGTCCACTAAACTGCATCCTCGGACCTACAGCTTTTGACTTTGGGTGTCAAGATCTCATCGTTTGACCTCTAGCTGCCTATTTCATTTGTCTCCATAAAGGAGACAGTCTGGGCTCCCAGTTTCTGAGATGTCTATAGTAGAGGCCACCTGGAGGTCTCATGGGTTGCTCCATTCATTATATTATTGGTTAATTTCTTGATGGTAGCCATTCTTTCTGGAGTGAAATGGAATCTCAGTGTTGTTTTATTTGCATTTCTCAAATGATCAATGTTATTGAACACTTTTTTTCATATATTTATTTGCTATTATACTTATTCATCTGAGAAGTCTTTGTTCATTTCAGATGCGGATTTGGGGGTTGGGTCTTTAAATTTGGGGGATCTGATGTTTTTGTTCTTTATGAATTCTAGATATTAGGTCTTTGTCTGAAGAGTAGCTGTTAAATTTTTTTTTTCACATTCCCTGGGTTGTCTCTTATTTTGTTGGTGTTTTTTATTTCCTGTGCAAAAGCTTTTTAATTTGATGTGATTCCAGTTGTTGATTATTTGCAATATTCCCTGTGTGATCTGGGTTTTGTTCATAAAGTCTTTGCCTACACTTATGTCTTCAAGCATTTTAACTATTCTGTCTTGTAGCAGATTATTTGTGTTTTAATATTTAGATCTTTGATCCATTTTTGGATAATAAGGTTACCTTCTAGGGTCTACAGTTTTGTGGCAGTATTCAATTCAAGGCATGCTCTGCTCTATCAGGTAGACAGTGGATACATTTAGAGCCCTGGATCCATGCTGGATGATCACCAGCAAAGCCAGTCTGGGACTTTCAAATCCATGGAAATTCAGGCTGAACCTGGCCTCTGATCTTGGGGGTGGGGCCTGAGTCATTTAGTTTACAACACTCCAGTTGTCTCTTGCCAGCCTGCCCTTGGCTCTCAGAACATGAAAGTCTCTCATAGTTGTCCTTCAACCAGTCACTGTGGGAGCTTAACACTGGGAGCCCGAGATAAAGCCAACCCAAGGCTGCTAAGAGTCCTGGGTTCAGTCGGCCCCTCCCTAAAATCACGTGTGAGCAAGCACTCTCTCCAGGGGACATAGCTGTCATTTGGACTGGAGTCACTCACTTGCTGCTGTATTACACAGCATCTGCTGCTCTGCTGCCCTGGAGCATTTCTCTCTGAAGGCCTCTGGAGTTGCCCACTTTCACTGTGCTACTCTACATTCAGTCTTCCTTTCTCACATCACAAGCTAGGAACTAGGGAGAAAGTACAGATTGCCCCTTCCTTTTTGTATGTTGTGGTCTCTCTCATCAGTTTCTCTGTAGGCTCTAATTTTCTTTTCAGATCTTTCCTGGGTCCCAAGGATCCACTTCTTTTCTTCTTTTCTTCCCCAAATTGTTATTTTCAAGTATCTGGATTCCAAATCTTGAAGAGAGTAATTTGTTGCTGCTTAATGCTCTGCCATTTTCCTGGAAGACCTACCTGCCACTTTCAAGACAGGGTCTCTCTAATTTGGTTTAAGTTTGCACTCTTCCTACCTCAGCCTCCCACCTTGTCAGACTTCCTCCTCTTTTCTTCATCTTACTACTTTTCATCCTTCCTGTTACCTTTCTCTTTTTTTTTTTGCTTCCTAAAAATACATAGTATTTTTCTAATTTTCTAATTTGATCTTCATTAAATTAATAAGCTATTTTAGATAAGCTTAATTAAATATAACTGTCTGATTAACTGTCAATATATTTCTATAATTTTATCCAGTCTTTCTTCCATAAAATTATCCTCCTTTTTTCCATTAGCTCTTCACTGATAAAATCTAACTTTCAGTAAAACCTGTAAACTTCAGAGGGCAGGGACAAGGGGAAAAAATGAGAACCAAGACCTGTCATGTAAAGGTACAAGATCCCAATAATGAATGTAACTGTACTGTATACCTAAAATTTACCAAGAAACTCAATAAAAAGAAAAAAAAAACAAAAAAACCTGTAAACTTCAAATCTCTAGCCTATCAAGTCAACAAAAAAATCCTTAGACATTTTTAGCACTGTGAAATTTTAAAATGTAATGCAGAGAGAAAATGTGATCTGCCATCTAGTATGTCATAATAACTTTTCAGAATGCCTGTTTAGTGAATCAAGTGTAGTCAGAATTCACATCCATACGGTTCTGCTTCTAGCACAGTTGAGACCTCAGCCACAGGAAGGCCATAATGGGGCTCAAAATCCAAAGAATGTTCCTTGATTCCAGGTCCTGGATTTCAGGGGATCCGCAAGGGCTCACAGAATGATCAAATTAGAAATTGATGGCTAAGCTCTTGATGGCTAAGCAAATAATAGAGGCAATTATAGCTTTGATATTAAAAAAGCAGTCACCTGATCCAGTAAATACAATCTCTTCAAAATTAGTGGAAGGGTTATAAAAAGAAGGTAGAAGAGACAGATACACTACTAAAGCTTTTCTGTCTCACATGAAAAAAAACATACTAAGAACCATTGGTTGGTCCTTTTCTTGATGAGACCAGGGGCATTTCCTGCTCTGTCCCAAATTAGGCAATAAGTTAATTTTTATGTTTTAATTACCATGCAATGTACAAAATACTTTTGTATCCATTGTCTAATTTGATTGTTGACAACAGTGATAAGGAAAGATATGAAAATACCATTTTCATTTTATACACAAATAGGTGAAGAGGGTTAACTGATGTATTAACAGCCACACAGGTAAAATCTGATGGAAATAAAGTGTGGCTCCCTTGCCAATTCTGTATCTGTCCTTTTTTTTAGTTATACCATATTGGCATTCATTCCCATGTGACCTTGAAATTCACTCTTCAGTGAACCAAGATTTTCCCCCAGCAAAATGAATAAATGAAACTAAATCTGTAATTTTAAACCTGGGGAACTTTGAAAAGATTCCTAGGCTCTCTCAAGCCTACTATAAAAATTTCAAATCATTTTGATGCTGTATGATCTTTTATTAGGTATCTTAAGTCTGAGATAAACATAAACCTTTGGATACATGAAGAATTTGCAAGAGGTACACAAGCATAATTTTAAAGAAATCAATTTTCAAATCATCAACTTTCTTATGTATTTTCTCCTAAAACCTGTCTCTGTGAATATGCTGTGGGTAATTACCTTTCTCATATACCCTTTACCATCATTCATCACCAAATTTATAAAAGAATCATATTATGGCACATAGCCTTAAAATGTGAAAACCTCTGTGAGATGAATTTAGAGACCATTCAAAATAATAGTTTTGTTAAAGTTTAAAGTTACTGAAGTTCTATAACTCAGTTCTAATCCATCTCACTAAGAAATGTATTTTTACTCATCTAAGCCCAGCACTTTGGGAAACTGAGGCAGGAGGACCTCAAGTTTGAGCCTGCCCTGGCCCCCTTAGTAAATTATTGAGACCCTGTCTCACTTGGGTGAAGGACCAGGTATGTAGTGCAATGTGAAGGTTACAGGATGAATCACCGGTACCCCCTATCCCCAAAGAAATGAATTTTGGAGACAGGGGGTGTTGCTCAGTTGTACAGCACTCCCTTAACATGTATAAGGTACTGGAATCAATCTCTCTATCTCCACAAAAAAAAGGAAAAGACTCTTCTAATAATAGTTTACTCTTTGTTTAGTAATTATCAAATTTTAATGTATATTTTTGATCAATTGTGAATTAATAACAGTAATCATGATATATCAAAATAAAGTATTTAACAAGTAAAGCTTTTTGGTTAAAGAAAAATTTCAAAACTCATTTAAAATTTTTATTTTAGCAAAATAAAATAAGATGACCAATAAAAGACTTCTCAAAATAAAAATACATTAGAATTGGGCCAGGGATTTAGCTCAGTGGTTCTGCTGCCCACCTCTCAAGTGCAAGGTCCTGAGTTTGATCCACTGTACAAAAAAAAAAAAAAAAAAAAAAAT